GGGGGGGTGTAACTTGACCTTACCACGTAACATATCCTACGTCATGTATAGATTTAATACATGTAGATCCATTTATAAAATATTATTTGCCTTTGTTCTTGTAACATCGCCGTATCGTATCATCAATGAGACGGTTAGTATTTAAGGACGTAGGTGTATCGTATCATCAATGAGCTAAGACTAAGAATCTCGGGCTAATCATTCATTTTGGTCTTCACTAACCATACTTGAAAACAATTTCTATTTCTATTTTTTTTTTTTTTTGGTCTCTCTGACCTATGACTATTCATTTAGAATTTATTATATTTTCTTTTTTTACAACTTATAGATTTGATACATTGATAGTGCGTTTATTTAGTGAGTTTAAGACTTACAATAGATGTAGTTGGTGAAGGACACCACTGGCTGGTCCTACTTTTTTCTTTCTATCCCTCTTATGTTTGGGCTAGTCTGTCTTACTTTTCCTCATCATCGAATAACCGTTATTGTGTCAAAGTACTTCTCTTTTCAGTGAGGTAAAAAATTCGTGGCGCAACTTATTGTCAAACATTTCCTAAACTATCGAACAAAGATTCTCCAGCGTTTGCACAATGACATATTATACATGTACAGTGAGTGCCGCATTCAACGCGGTCACATTCAACGAGAAGTCGGCTCCAACGAGGCATTCCTTCATCCCCGACTGTATCTCTGTAAATGTACGTCAGCTCCAACGAGGTTACAAACAGACCGAAGTCGCTTTCAAGAAATTAGGAGCCCCAAAAGAGAAGAATTTTTCTCCTTTCTCTCCATCTCATGCGAAGCACAAGTACCATCACCGATTCCTAGCGCATTGTATTGCTAGATCTAGTATGCCTCCTTAATATGCGCCCAAGGAGCTTAAATGTATGGGCCCCAAAGCCAAGAGGATAGATCATAGACAAGGGTTAGCCTACGGTAGGGATGGGAGGGGGTGGGAGGGAACGCGATGCGGGCTGTGTGAAACTGGGTGAACTCTGGATGGGTAGGTCTAGATCGAGACCTTTGGGTTTTTTTTTCAATTTTGTTTTCTTCCCGTAATTAGAAAATTCAAGCTCCCGCCTTCACTTAATTTAGATATCTAGGCCTAGATGTGAGAGGGTATGTTTCCACACGAGATGTGTCTGAACAAAAATAATGTACAAATGCAGAAACGACGGTCAGAACACAGCTCGAACACGCGCACACTGATGCTGTGTGAGATTTCCGTCATCAGGGGGAACAACTGTTGTAATTACTGGTATTGGTACATCGTGTAATATAATAACTTGCCTCCTTTATTTTTAGTTTAGTTTTAGTAAAGGTTTTACGGCGCTCGCAAATGCATAAGGTCATATGAGCGCCAGTCTCCTTTCTTTACTTTCGCCTCAGTCACGTTCAACGAGAGGTCGGATCCAACGAGGAGAACAAGCCGGTCCCGGCAACCTCGTTGAGTGCGACACCCACTGTATCCATTCATTGTGTGGATGTCACTGAATCGCCCGTACAAGAGATATTTGGGGATAAGCAAGTTGCGCCTCACATTTTTGACCGCACTATATAATAGTTAACTTAACTGAAATGGGAACGTGCTGATGATATCATGTACTCCACGGTACTCCCATAAGCCCCTGCGGGTGGTTGGAGGGCGCCCTGGTAGGTCCTACCTCTTGACGTTCCCTCTGATATTGCTATGAGTCTGTCTGTCTTACGTATTCCCCAGCACTAAATAAATAACCCATTCATTGTGTCGTGTGCTTCTGATTTCTTTTATTATTTGAGTAGAGAAAAGCACACGACACAATGAATGGGAAAC